TTTAAGCAAAATTGCTGAAAATGACATGCAGGGTTTTAGTCTGCTCTTGTCAAATTATGGCTGGATTTGTTGAATCATGTGTTGTATTTTTTTCCTAGCCAAATTGTAGTGCACCAGGTAAATACATATTCTTGGAAAACCGAGAAATTTAGACATAATACATCCTATAAATGGAAAATATCTGTTACATTGTTGAACTGGCATGGAATAAAACAGGTGCAGAGTAAATACAAATAAAAGTAAATCTCAGTAAAAGAATTATAATGTATTTTAACCCCAACGTATCCTGAGTCGATTTACAAATGTAAATGAGTCAATAAATAGATAAATTAATTAATTAATTAAAAGGCAGAGAAAAAAGTTACTCCCTCATTTTTTGTGTCTTTTAGCAAGTTGACCAGTTTACTGCTATTTGTCATATTTTTCTTGGCAAAACTGGTAAGGTTCACCTAAATGAACAGATTTCCAGGCATGAGACCAGCTTTTAAGCATCGTCCACATATTTTCAATAGAACTGAAGTCGATGCTTTGGGAAAGTCAATAGGTTGCCTTCAGGCCCAGGCTGCCCTTGAAAAAAGAGATCTGAGATCTCAGTGGGACTTGCCGGGTAAAATAACGGTAAATAAATAAATAAATAAATAATTCAAACATTTTAATGTTTGGGATCATTGTCTTGATGGAAACCCTCAAACTGTTCCTCTGACGGAGACTTCCTCCTCCTTCCTTATTCCATCCACTTTGTGCAATGCACCAGTACCACAGCATCATGCTACCACGACCATGCTTGACAGCAGGTAGAAGGCCTTCTCAAGTTAAGAGAAAATAAAAAAGATCTGTTTAGCAATTTCTTTGGTTTTCAAGCCTCATAACCCCCCCAAAAATCATTTAGCCATGAGGAGCTAAAGTAAAAAAAAAAAAAGCTCATAATACAACACATGGAGTCATAATTCACAATAAATTAGATTTTTTTCCCTATCCAAGCTGAAGACTGATAGACAAGCTCATTTGTGCCTACTAATAGAGGTGTCCCCTGTCAGGACTACATCACCCTCCTTAATAGATAGAGTTCCTTCGATGAGAAGGCCTGTGATGGCGAAGTCAGGGGAGGAGATGATTTACAGCCTCTGCTCCAGTTTTTCTAATCTCCAGTGTTAGATAGGAAATGGCTGGCTCCCTATCTGGGTCAACCACGAGCAGAGGCGAGACAGACGTAATAGATTTATCCAACTCTGTCATGAGCTGTGCGTTTCTGTGTATTCCTTCACTAACATGAAAGTAGCCTCCTCAGAAGAGACGCATGTATGTAGTGTTAAGAGATTCTGCTGCATCTGTCGAGGTTTTAATGTTTCTGTTCGTATCCGTGTGACTCACGTCCACGTGCATCCAGACRTTGTACTTTTTGCAGACGTCGGAGATGGCGACGAGAGGATCGAAGGCCCCGTACACTGTTGTTCCAGCTGTTGCACTCACGAAGAAAGGAACAAAGCCCTGCACAAGGATAAACAACATGCGGCACCTTGTTGCAACAATATATGTACAAATCATCATTATCATCATCATCATCATCATCATCATCATCATCATCATCATCATCAGTGTAGTGGTTTCAGTTCAACAAAACCATAAAGCCAAGGATGTATGAAGGCATTTCTGTCTATTTATAACCAGGCTGTAAATGTGTGTCACGTTACCTTCTGTTTTGCCTCCAGTATTCTCCTTTCAAGGTCAGCTGGGATCAGTTTACCACTGGGAAAAAAAAAAAAGTTTTTGTGTGGGTGCACATTTAGTGGCAACAGCAATGCTTTACACAAGTGAATTTCAGTTTAACAACAATCTGGTCTCATTTTAAGAACAAAAAATAAAAATAAAAAAATAAAATAAAAAACAGTTCCTTGCCAAGTATGTATAACAATATTACAAGGATGCTAATCTTCATATGAGAGTCATCAGGTTTATTGGTTACAGAATAGTTTATTACTGTGAGAAGATAAATATGCAAAAGATGAACTGATTTATAATTAAAAGAATTAATCTACAAAAGGAAATTTGACAAATCGTGGAGAGTGATAATCCTCTTGATGCAATCAAGAAGACCACCATAAAAGAGTACAAAAAGGTACTTGTCCTTTGAAGCAAAACAGGAATGACTCAGAATTCTTGCACAAAAATGTAAATTCTAGAACTCTAAAACTCTCCAAAGTAATTCATACGATCAAGAACCACACTCTGAGCTGCAAACAAAATGTCTACAAATCAAAACACCTGGTTTTTAATAARCAGAAGAAGGCCAAAAGACAGCAAAATGCTTTCAAGAAGATTTTTCTTCAAAGTTACGATGAAGCAAATGATAAAAATAGAAAAAGTGTAAATATGTAAGGTCGAAAAGCTTTTTAAAAGAACTCCTTGAGTAAATTGTTATAAAAACACAAATGGCTTTCAGTGGATAAAAACATTTCTACAAAATGTAACTCACTCTGAAGTGATGCAGCCACAAATATGATTAAAGCATGTTTTAAAAAGGCATCTTTGTAAGACGGTTCTGATGGATGGATGGATGGATGGATGGATGGATGGATGGATGGATGGATGGATGGATGGATGGATAGATGGATGGATGGATGGATGGATGATGGATGGATGGATGATGGATGGAGGGATGGATGGATGGATAGATGGATGGATGGATGGATGGATGGATGGATAGATGGATGGATGGATGGATGGATGGATGGATGGATGGATGGATGGATGGATGGAGCAAATATTTCCAAAGACAGTCATTTAAAGATGAGTAAGAATGAATTTTCAAACTAAAACATGACAAACCTAAATGTCAACGTTGTGAAAATGCACTTTACCTTTCGTCTACTTTGATGCAGATCACACTTTCAGTCCCAATGCCAAGAGCAGCTGCTCCTTTCTTGATTGAAAAATGGCTCTGAGAGATGACAGAAACATGAGGGGTTGAGTGATCAGATCAGAGGACGTGAAGTGAAATACAACCGTAAAATCATATTGAAGTTGCATGTTATTTATTATTATTATTTTTTTGTATGCTGCAACTTTCAAACGCCCTTTAAAGATGAAGGAGGCGACACTCGTCACCTCGTGTYCTTCAGCGTTGGACCAACACAAGGTTAGTATGTGACACTGCAAAAACTAAACCAAGCAAAGCTMCAGCTAATGTGAGATTATTTCTCCTGAAGTGTAGAAGAGGAAACAAATCTGACATTTAAGGAAACTGTGATGTGGTTTGATACAGCTATTTACAATAATGGGAAGAATAAAAGCAAGAACAAATGTCTTTCAATTTTAAAGTTTTATGTATCAGGATTTGGTGTACAGAGCACACAACAGATTTCACCATGCTGTAAGCAAAACCAGAACGGAAAAGCTGTGTGTGATTCAGCATCTAGTAGAACCATATTTAACAAGAAGTTGAAGAATTATTTATTACAAGACTGTAYTCATGTCATTGTGTTTGTGGAGCAATTTTCTTTAGTTTTTCTTCTGTTCATTGAGATTTTCAGTCATTTGTTTGTGTTCTCTTGAGGTCCACCACAACATTTCAATTGGATTGTCTGAGTTTTGACTGACATTCATTGTTTTTAGCCATTCGGTTGTAAACCTGCTGCTTCGTTTGGGATCATTGTTTTATATCATAAACCACTTTTGGTCCATGCTTCAGACCTTTACAATCCAAAGAGCCATGTCTGCGCCTTAGCTCACTGATAAAATGTGTCCGGAGATGCAAAACGTGGTACAGATCATCAACTGGTGGTCTGTGGGCCACTTTTTGCATTTATTAAATGTGGGCCTTTCCAGACAGTGAGGGCTGCAAATATATTGCAAATTATTATAATTATTTTTACACTTCAGGGCAAAAGAAAGGATCTTATTAATGTAAACAAGACAAATATTATAATTTATTAATGCAACCCACAACTGAACTTTGCAGGCATGTTTGTTTTTCTAATTCATTATCTAATCTAGTCTTAAAAGTCTTTAAATGTAACCTTGATGGATTTGAGACAAATGTCGTAATTTAAGGCTGGAAGTTGGATTATTGAAGTGACAAAGAAGCTACTAGCATCATGCTAGTTGCGTGATCTAAGCAACACATTTCACTCCTTGCATCAGTAGTTTCAATCACAAGCTGTATTTGCAAACAAACTGACAGAAAAACTGCTAAGGTTGGCCTTTTCTGTTGTGAGTATGAAAACCAGAGAATGTATTCTCATGTTAGCTTTGGTCAAAGCTTCAACGAGCCGCTGCAGAGGGACCACGTGTGGCCCCAGAGCCACAGGTTGCAGAGCCCTGCTCTAGAAGGAAGTCACTGACAATTCAGTAGCTCCAAAACATCCAGGTCCTGTGTCTGTAAAATGAGCCTAAATCATCACACCTCCACCTCTGTTACCACCAAGAATGTTCCAGASTAATGATGAAAACATGCTCCCCGTCTTAAATCATATCAAAACAGCAAAAATGAACATTTTTTTCACTCACAGCTTTCCTGTTTTGGCTCATTTATATTCAATACAAATAATATGGTGAAGTTGTTTTTAGAACCCGATAAAAACCAGCTTATATTTTATTCTGTCGTGATACATCAAACCTTAGAACTGAAGGAGGTTGGACTGTTTTTCCCATAAACATATTTGCTGAAAACACTTGGGCCTTACATGTTCGGACGTGAAGGCCACCAGTCTGGGGACGGATGACATGCCTTTCTCTTTCACCTCAGGGAACATTTTGAAGCGGGCCAACAGCATGGCGTACATGTTAGAAATAGACCCCCCTGGAGGACAGACAGACATGTTACAGTCTCAGAGGAGAGATGCAGGGGTCCCAGTTGAAACAGAGCAGAACGAACAATCAAAATGTCCTCGTATTTTTTTGAAAAAGGCCCTGCATAGCTGGAGAAACAAAAACAGTTTTATCCTGGAAACACCCAGGGTAAAACAATAAATTAAACATTGAATCTTTAAAAAAAAATACACACACACACAGAAAGTACAGAGCTTAAGGGAAAAAGAGAACTGGAGCAGTCACAAGCAAGACACATTTAAAACAAGTGGAATTTTCTGAGCTGATTGGGCAATTGTAAAAAAAAAATGTTCTACGGTAATTGTCCTTGAAAGCATTTCCCTTTGTGTCCTCAAAATGCAAATTGGCACATTACAACACAAACACACACACCCACACACACACACACAGCCGGTTCCATTTCCAGCTCAACACGGGGGACACCAGTGCGCACGTACCAGGTGAAAAAATGCCATCTCCTCGCCCGTTGGGCCAGCCAATGATCTCCCTCATCTTCTTCAGAGTGACGTATTCCAGCAGCACAAAAACTGGGGCCACCTCATAGGTGAACCTGCAAGACACCATCACCGCTGGTTGTGGCTCAATCATGACTCATTACACAAAAAGGTCAACCTTTTTTTTTTATTTTTGACCCTTTTTTTTCTAATCAGCATTTTGATCCTTAAAATGTTTCCATTTGAACTCAAATTACTGTGTGTGAGTGTCCTTTCTAACGGAAAACTAAATAATCTATTTCCATGACAACAGCATCCTTGTGTGGTTCACAAATCAAAAAAATGAAAGAAATACATTAATTTTTTTTTATCAGAAAGCTGTGTTATCACCCTGAGACACACACATCTAAAATTGGCTTCTGATTAGTCTGAATTTAATTTCAGAGCTAATTTTCTTCCCTTTGAATCCCCATGAGGATCAGAGGTGAGTGGGAGGGATAAAAGGCATGAGGGTGGGAGGG